ACGGAGCTGTAATCACTGCCTTTTGGTATTATCCACCTGATCTGTGACATCCTTCTCCCACTGGCTGCCTACTTTAAAAATTAGGCATCTCTCTGCCAACTCCCTACTGTTGCATCACTCTTCACCCTCTTTGAAACTATGTTGGGGTTCTACCTTTTCCTTTCATGCTCTGAGTACTGGCACGTTTCAACACCCCAAGACAAACTCTGAATTAGGCTGCTGCAAAGTCTATAGAGCCAGCTGAGTAAGGTAGGAGAGCAACCTAAGATAATGTGCATGCACTGCAAATGACCAAGATTCCCAGCATAGCTCAGGTACCAGAAATAGCTGCCACAGGGAATGGTGAAGGCCAGATAAATAGTCCTCCATGTAAAGCTGCAGCAGCCCAGCTCACTCACCCACCACGAACTAATCTTAATTCACTACTTTTTGTAGTAGAGATCCTAAACTGTATAGTCTTGGGCAATCTTTCTCTCTGCAGTTGTGACAGAAATCTGACAAAACTAGATTGTTGCTGCTGTATGATTTGTATTTCCCTTGCAGTTGCAGAACTTGAGAAGGGGGCACAGAGAATGGCACAAGAAGTTCTCCTGTCAGATACAGGACCTCTTTTATCTTTCAATGCAATAGAACAGCCATGGGAAGAGATTCTCTCAATTTAGTGTCTGAAATACATACTTAGGGATGTTTCTGAAAAGTCAGCAGGATGATTTTAAGCTGCAGATTTCAAAAGATACACTTTAAAACACGGAAGATTTAGTGTGATCTCAAAATCCAAGTTTTAACAACTATTAGATTTAAAATCAAGCATCACTTTTCGGAGGTATCATTTGTAAGTAAACAAGTGACAGCATTTTATAGACACCATATCACAGCTGTAGACAGGCAAAACAGACGCTAGAATCTCAATCTGGAAACGAATTACCCAACTGGGATGCACAATACTGAAGTATTTCAGTATAAGATCAAAATATTCAGCCAGATTAATTGTGCTAGTGTTGTTATCCTACTTTTAACAATGCTTTCTAGGTAGACAAATTAACATTTTACAGTTTGTAAATTCACAAACAGCTCAATTATGGAGACTGGGGAGTTAAAAGATAATCAAGGATTTTATAGGGGCTTAGTCATGTGAGCTCTACCTCAGTTTTGCTGTGCTAGCATCTTTTAGCACCATAGAAAATCAAACCAAGGTTTTATTTCCACTGCAAGGCAGTATCAAGAATACAAAACACTGACAATACGCTGTTTTACTGCTAATAGAACCTGCTTGCATAAAGATCTGGGTTTTAACTTAATTCATTGTTACTGAAAAGATTCTGTGGGCCCTTTAAAATAATTTCGGAAAGCATTTCATTTATTCAGTAAATACTTGAGACCATCAAACGAGAATGCCATTCTGTATATAGTTTTTCATCTATGTAAATTAGCAGGAATATTTCAACAAACAACAAAAGGAAAATACGTTTGGACCATTAATAAGAAAAAGATACTGCTTTGGCATCTCAGCTTCAGTTTTCAAAATAAAGACATATTCAAGCTATTAAAAGGGCTGCTTAAGTAAAGTCTTGTACTCTGTAGAAAGTCTACAATACAAAACTCATGTCTGAGAAAACAATTTTTATGGCAATAAAATATCTTCCTTCTTTCTCCAGTTTCTTCATTTTTACTGCTTGCTAAGCAGTTAGAGCATATCCAACATGCTGATGCTATTTTGTTCCACTTCACTGTACACCAGCTTCAAGTCTCTCTTCCGTGAGAAGGAAAACCAATTTTGCAGAATACATGAGTAGAAAGAAAGAGACTATCTCCTCCTCCCCTTCCAAAATCTAAACCAAACCAACAGAAATTATCCATTAAAACATATATATGTTTTAATATACAAATATATAAATATATAAACCATAGTTGAGTATCAAGCTGATATTCAGTGGAAAATTAAGAAGTATTAATTAGGTGAAACTTTAATTGCCTCTCTCCAGATCTTTGGACTTAGATTAAATCTTTCCTATGGCAACCCACAGAATTTGCAAATACTACACATCCAGCGCAGGCAGTGGCAGGAATGGTAAAGGAGGGAGGGTAACTTGCAAATCCCATCCTTTGGCTTCTAACAGCTTCATTTTATTGTTAGAATAGAGATCAAAACATTCACTCTTTTTTATGGCTGAGAAAACAGATCTATTTTTACAACAAGTAACCTGGCATCAAGCAGCTGAGAAAATTAGCTAGTTCACACTGCAGAATAAAACCATTTAGACATGCATAAAGGAGCCAGGTTTGGATATCTGTAAGCTCAACCTCTTCAACAGAACAAATCCAAATACAATCAGTGCTTTAGCACCACTTCAGGCATATCCGCAAAAGCTATAAAGCATCTGATAGAGACTTTTAAGTCAGCCTTACTATTTTACTCAGAATTAGAAATCCAAGGTAACAATTTTTCTTTAATGGGGAAAATGCCAGGGCCATATCTGAAAGATGCTTTCAAGATAAGAAAACATTTCAAATGCATTTCATAGCACAAATTCCTCTTTCACAACCCATTAAAATACTGAAAACAAATGCCACCATGGGGACACCAGTCAGATTAATGCAAAGGCAATGTCAAATTACCCAGATGAATATTTAAGTCACTATTTTTACAAAGAAAAAAAATGGGAAAAATGGAAGATGGAGAAATCTGTACTTATAGTAACATGTCCTGAGGAAAAAAAAGATTTTTGGAACCATGAAGGAGAAGGTCAAAGTCTGAGAGAATGCTGTTTTCAGTGTTCACTTACATTAAGAAACATTGCTATGTAAGTATCAATAAACACCTACTGCCCTGATGGGCTTGTGTCATCCATGAACAATAAATATCCCACAAAGGATTACAAAGGAAAAGGAAATTACATCAAGAGTTTCTCTCAGAACCTTCTCTAACACTGGAAATAACAGAGAATCCTAGATTAAAGTGGCAATTTTATATAACATATAGAAACAGAGAGAATGGGTAAACGCATGGAATGGGGAAATTTAATGATGAAGAGAAGTAGACAGGTAGAAGAAAAAAAAACAACACGGCTGTAACAAGATTTGTTATGGGGATAATGTTAGGAAATACAAGCTAATAAAGAGAAAGGAAGGAAGGGGTTACAGGAAAAGTGATCTTGAAGGTCAACCAGGTTGTGTTCACTGCTTCAAAGCACATAGTTTCTGCAGTTGTCTTCAGAAAGTCACTGCACCTAGACTGGAATTCTCAAGCCAGGCACACCTTCCAGTCATTTCACACATTTGGCAAATGTCAAATGATCTAGGTAATATTAAATAATGTGCATATTCTAACAAATGTCATCGCACTTATTTCACTTCACATTCTATGACATTGAAATTTAATGAGTTGCAGCAAGGAGACCTTAGCCAGCCTTGTCTAGAAAGAGAAGCTGAACAGAATGCAAGCCAAATACAAATGCACCAATGTGTATGTACCAAGAAGTGACAAAACCTAAGAATAAAACTTATTTAGGGACATAAACCCAAAGCATGAAGGAGAGAAATTATTTGTCAGATAACACTGACCATAGTGCCTTTAGGAAGGAAGCTCCTGCTCAAAAGCTGTCATGGCTGATGGCTGGAAGACGCAAATGTAAAAGCAATGTAACTGAGTGCAGATGCTGCTTTCATATTCATAATTAGGTCTGGTAAGAGAGAGAATATTCCATCTACATCAATATTTCTCTGTACCTTCTCTGAGCTTCTTGACCTCATTTTTTTTTCAACATCGCATAAAGTTTTGTACACTTTCCCCCAGTTTATCCAAGCTATTTATCAATTGTTCGGGTCAGGGCCAGGTAGTACCATGAGTTTATTAACCGACCAGCAGAAATGAGCCTCATTTCCAAGGTTCCTCTCCCTTGGTCCTGCCAGTCTGTGAAGAAAAATGGTCTTCAAAGACAACAAATTCACTGTCAAGTAAGAGTTCAACGATGGGGAGTAAATACTTAGTGGTTAAGTGAAAAAGGTAAGAAATAATAAAACCATTAAAATGTAACTATTTAATCTCCTTTGATTTAAAAAAAAAAAAAATAAAGACTGGGAGAGTCTGAAAGAAAGTGCAGTTCTACAGGAACAAGAGGGCAAGACTTGTAATTCGTGACCAGTTTTATGTTCATCCTCTTGCATGACTATCCCATGACAGTCATGGACATAATTCTGTCTATAAATCAAGGAATGTTTGACTACTTGCAAAGAAATGTATTTTCAAGACTTACCAAACAGAACTAACTGAAACCGCTAATAAGCACCATTTCAGTCTTCAAAACCTTGCTTGAACAATTTATCATCCGATTTTGAGTTACCCCTGATGACAATTAAAGCCTTTTCACATGTATCAAATTCAAGGTGAAACTTACAACACTTGTACTTATAACACCTAGTACTTATCAATTTTATCTAAATTTACAGTGTATCAAAGTAGCATCTTCCATTCTTCAATGGATTAAGCTCATGGCTGTTTCAAGTTCATGATCTTTGAAACTATTTCCAATTACAGAGCAATCCCCACAACTGCCAGCTACAAGATCCACGCATATATTCATGATTCATTTCAAAAATATAGCATAGTTCAGGAGGGCTACAAAAAAAAATTATGTAACCACTTGTCAAATATGATACTTCAGAACATTACTTCTGTTAAAATTAAGAGAATGGTCTTAAACTCTAGTGCCTCAGAAAAGCTTTGATACAGAAGTTCTCACCAAAATTACAGCATGAAGCTACACAAGACAGATGCCCACTTACAATACACCTATGCAGACATTAATACGTATTTTTAACATGAATTTTGCATAGATAGGTATTTCCCAGTGTTCTGCAGACATAGAAAAATTCTTTAGAGCAGCTGAAAGATTTACTTTTTTTTAACACTTATGTAATTTTTAAGGTATTTTAGATTTCAATTTAATGATAACAGCAGTGTAACATAACCATTGCTGCACCACAACTGCATTTAAATATACCTTCTTCTACAGGAATTGGTTTCTCCAGGAGAAAAACTGTCTGTTTCCAGTGCGTTTTGGTACACTGGGGACCAGTTGAAAACAAGACCTGCAGCAGAAGAGTTCAAGAGTTTGATTAAGAACAGCATTTTTGATATCACACAACATCAATCAATTAAACACACATGCAAATGAAGTGCTTGCTACAGCAAAAGAGACTCCCCGCCAAACACCTTGAGGCAGAATAAAACACAAAACCACCCTCATCTCCCAAAGACTTAAAATGCACAATCCCAAATACTCACCTTATTTTGACAGTTCTTCTCAAAAAAGATATCAAAATACCCAGCAATTGCCTATAAAAAGGAGTAAATGCAAATATAATAAAGGAACAGTAGTGACACTTAAGAAAAAGTCTATCAATATATACATTTATTGGGATTTCTATTCCATTTCATGCACTGAGAGAAACAAGATTAGATTTATGCTAGAAATCCTAAGTCGAAAAAATAAGCAGTCATCGCACATTTGTCGTACTTGAGAATATTCAGCCCACTGAAAATGCACTTTATTACACGCCAACTTTTAGTCTGATTTTCCACAATAACCCACACATTAACTTCAACTAGAATTTCACAGAATACAGACTTTCATATGCACAGACCCCCAAAAAGCATCAAATTCCATCCTTATCCCCTACAGCTACCACAGCCATCACTAAATTAAAACACAGCACAAGGGATTCTGCATGACATGCTCACTCTTTGCATAGCTAAACACTATTTTCCATAAAAGCTCCCTGTGAACTGAGGCAGAGCATGAACAGGCAGGGAATATTTCTCCTTCCTCTACTACACACACAGGTAAGAGACAAAAGATTCCCAAATACTTCATGCTGGCCTTTCCAGCAGTTGGTAGTTTCTAATAGTAACTCTCCATAGGATTCCTTGGAACACTTATTCTGTCCCTCCTGCCATCCCACTCCTAACCTCAAAAAAAGCCTCTCTTCAGTACATAGTTCATTAGCGGAAGAAGAAGAGAAAGAGGCACAAAATGCCCGCGCACAAAACAGTATACCAACACTATTAGTTATGCAGTCTTTTAATACTAGCCTGTTTTTTGACAGAACAGCTTTATGAGTCCCAGATGCTACTAAAAGGCATTTCTATGCCACAGTTTCACCTCTGAAATCCTGTCCATGCTCACCTTTATTTGCTTTCTACTATCTTCTACGAAAAGCAAATCAGACTAAGGCATTTATGCTTTTCTATTATGTCAGCCTTAAGAAACAACCTAGAATACAGCTTTTGAGTAACAAACTACAGCAGCTGGGGACTTCATCCCAGTGGCAGCAGGAAGGGACCCACCCTCACATCACCTACAGTACATTCAAACAAGGTATGTACCAATTCCACGATGGCAGGCCTGCTGCATGAAAACTAACTGCAAACAACTGATTATAACCTTCCTCTCACAGCATTAGTATTTTTCTCCTACTCTAGGAAACTGGTCGTTCTCAAGGGTTACAAAAGACAGTTTCTGGAGCGTGGCCTTCATACTCAGTCAGAGACAGACTATGAAAGGAAGACAAAAAATCAAATATGCTTACAAATGCAGGTAAACTGAATGGCACAAGGCTTTATCATTATGAAATATGTAAACTGAATGACAGCTAAACCATTCTGGTATTTTTCTTCTCTGGTCTAAATCCAGAACAGATTTCACCAACATTGTGGAGAACAGAGTGTGCTAAAGCACCTGTGTTTGCTCTTCAGCTAAGGGCACTTCAGAGAAGCCTTGCAAGTTTCAAATTATGATGTGGGCAAATATTCTTAAATGTAAGAAGCAAGGAGACACTGAGGGAGCTTCATGACAAATGAGCACCAGATGGTGGAAATGGTGACTCTTCCATCCCTATCGCTCATTGAGTCCTAACACTCAACGCTGAGAAATTCGTTGCCAAGTGAATCACAGCCTTGTCTCTAATACGCCTTTTTGGGTAAAGATTGAGAAGGTTTTGACAAAGTTTTATTGACCCATCAGACTGCTCTTATCAAGGCACAATCTTTTCTGTGTATTAGTCAGAGATCTACTAAGTCATAAAAATACTTTTCAGAGACCAGGTCAATACAGTTGATATGCTTACAAGTAAGACCTAGGACATGACTACTGCAGAAAGGAGAACAAGGCGGCAACAACAAAAACATAATAATTCAGAAAAAAAAAATACTGGCTTCCAGAGAAAGCAAGACTATCAAGCTACATTTTGGACAGAAAGCTAAAAGCTCCATGCAGACACACCATAGCTAAGGTGGATGCTTTTATCTATATATTTGATAGAAGAAGTAACAAAAACACACTGAGAAAACATCCTCACATTGGCATTTTTATTTTGGGAGGATGAGGTTCAGACTGGAAAGAAACCATGGGTACAAGGAAAGAAACTGTCCTCTGCTATCTGCTGCCTCTTATGCTCAGGGAAAGAAGATTTGTGCAATTTCTGTAAATGACTAGGATAAGTATCAACTTTATTTCATATATAATCAATGGTTTCCCTAACAGAAACAACCTGAAACACTGAACTTTGGCTATCTAAATCAAGAGGTAGTAAACAGTAATTATTAAACATCACAAAGACTACCTCATGCAGAGCTTCAGGGATTACAGATTTACAGATTTCAGGTGACTACAGAGAACAGGAGTTCTACGCTGATCCATTAAATTCTTTTTCTTACATTCTAAAACAGATAGATGTCCTTCAGCATTGATACTGAAAAAATTATTCAGCCAAAGGTTAAAAAAAAAAAAATGCAGACAAATATTCCAACAAAACAAATTCCACAAGTCCCATAGGATAAACCCTTGTGAACAGCTTCAAGCACACCAAAACCAAAACACACACTCTGGTGAGCTATGCCAACAGGCAGCCCCAGTCCTGCATAGCTGAATAGAAAGTATATGCTTATAGTTAAATAGATCCAGGGGAGAGTTTGAAAGATGTTTTGAAAACTCTTAAGAGCACATATTGCAGTTTCAAAATCTAATGGGTATCTTTACTAACAGATTTTCAAACCAGTTTTGAAACAACTAATAAAAACAAAACACACACATGGCTTGACCATTTTTCTTTGCAAAATTGGTTTCAACTATGTAATTTGGTTTTAATAAACATTTTAAGGCAACCTGCCATAATTTACCAATGCTGCATTTAATATCCAGATAGAAATCTCTTGCATGTGTTTTACGTCTTTGGGAAAACAAGACTTGTTTTGTTCAATTTCATAATTTGTTCAATTATGGCAGCTATTCCAGAAGCCAATTACAGCTGAGGAAATCTAGAAAGTGAAACTGCACAGATCCTGTTGCTTACGCTGTGAAACAAGAAACCAAACCAAAAGTTTAAACCTGCTATTAAACAGAAGTAGTTATTTGCCTACACCTAGGTAATAAACATAAGCTCAAGTGTATTCTAAAGCCTTCCAGTAACTTCAGCCTAAATTAACTGCCTTCTTCCTTTCCTCTTTTTGATTTTACACAGAGGATTTCAGTGATACGGTTTAGTGGTGGTCTAGGCAGCCTGGGCTAATGGTTAGACTTGACGATCTTAAAGGTCTTTTCCAACCTAGCTGATTCTAGACTGCATGTTCCCCTACGAGTAACATAACCCTTAAAAAGGCATTCAACCAAATTATGCATTATTTTCATGAGTATACTCCATTTTATTTAACAATTCATTCCACCCACTCCAATACATCTGTGTATGAAACTGAGGGTTCAAATAAAAGTTTAATGAAAAGAAAAAGGTTGGTGGTCTTCAATGCTAAAATACAGGGGGGCATGAAGGATCCCAGTGTAGCTCTAAGACCTTTCTGTAGAAAGCAAGCATGTAAGGAAGGAACACAAGTGAAAGCAAGGCCTCAAATTTACGCTTAATCTAGAAAACCTCAGCCTAATGATGAGGTAGGTCTATGTCAAAGAACAACCATTTCCTTCAGCCAATTTTACAATTTCTTCATACCAGGAAAGTTGAGAGCTTCTTACAAGCTCCCAAGCTTTGCTTTAAGCAACCTAGGAATTCAAAGGATAGACTTTTATAGCCTTATTATGATGGCCTGGTTTTATTCATGTAGCACAGATTAAGTGCAAATGCTAAAAATTAATGCCTACCATAGTATTTTAAATCCAGGGTGTACTTTTTTCATTACAGCTCAGTTTTATAGATCTTTTTGTACTCAAGCTAGTCTGCTATTAGGGGAGCCACAAAACAACTGATTTTCGAAAAATCAGTCAATGACATTGAATCTTAAAGACAGAAAGAGTTGCGGTTTGTTTTTTTTTTTGCCACGTCAAAGGCTATAGTAAAATCTCTGACACCATTTCCCAGGTCCAGAGAATAGCAATAAAGCAGAAAAAGGGTCTAGATAAAAGTCTGATGAGGAAGGGCTGAGGGAACTGAGGGCATTTAGTCTGGAGAAGGCTCAGGGGGGACCTTATCACACTCTCTACAACTATCTCAAAGGAGGATGGAGCCAGGAGGTGGCTGGTCTCTGCTCCCAAGTAACAAGTGACAGGACAAGAGGAAACAGCCTCAAGCTGCACCAGGGGAGGTTAAGGGCTGGGTATTAGGAACAATTTCTTCACTTAAGGGGTGGTCAGGCATTGGAACAGGCTGCCAAGGGTAGTGGTGGGGTCACCATCCCTGGAAGTGTTTAAGATGTATAGATGTGGCACTTACAGAATCACAGAATAGTTAAGGTTGGAAAGGACATTAAGATCATCTAGTTCCAACCCCCCTGCCATGGGCAGGGATGCCTCACACGAAACCATGTCACTCAAACCTTTTGTCCAACCTGGTCTTGAATACCGCCAGGGATGGAGCATTCACAACCTCCCTGGGCAAGCCATTCCAGGGCCTCACCACCCTTACAGTAAAGAATTTCTTCCTGATATCCAATCTAAATTTCCCCTGTTTAAGTTTGAACCCGTTACCCCTTGTCCTGTCACTACAGTCCCTAATGAAGAGTCCATCCCCAGCATCCCTATAGCCCCCCTTCAGATACTGGAAGGCTGCTATGAGGTCTCCACGCAGCCTTCTCTTCTCCAGGCTCAACAGCCCCAACTTTCTCAGCCTATCTTCATACGGGAGGTGCTCCAGTCCCCTGATCATCCTCGTGGCCCTTCTCTGGACTTGTTCCAACAGTTCCATGTCCTTTTTATGGTGAGGACACCAGAACTGCACACAAGAGTCTCACAAGAGTCTCTTGAGGTCTCACAAGAGCAGAGTAGAGGGGCAGGATCACCTCCTTCAACCTGCTGGTCACACTCCTTTTGATGCAGCCCAGGATACAGTTGGCTT